ATATTCATTTGCTTTCAAGATGTATTCATCTGCACTGTAGAATTACTTTTAAAAAGCAACAACAAATAAAAAGGGATCAAACTTCAAATAACTTCAAACGGGAAACATTTAATTGTCACTAGGAAAGGCTTGGGAGTGTTCAACAAAGTCCTTCACTGAAGTAGACTAATTAAACTTTCTTTTCCCCCTTTTGAACAGTGCAGTAATCATGTGGTTTGTCTACAGAGATGTAGTTGTTCGGTCCTTCCCCTTTCCTCCCACCCTTCTCTCCCCTGACCTTTTGTTCCTTGGGTGCTGACACTACAGTGAGCTGAGTGTGGCAGCTGACTGGCTTATTTCTTCTCTTTCAGGTTTTAAAAAAATTATCTTTTTTAATGCTAGCTTTTTCCAGTAAATAACTTCCTACTCCATCTTTGAATATTGGAATACTTTATCCTAATTTGTTTTATATCAGAACAAACAACCATCCTTTCTGACAAGTGTTGGGAATTTATGGCAATTTATGGCACCACATGTAGTCTTAGACGTCTGTTTCTCTTAATGCACGCGTGCTGTGAGTAGTGCTAGCAAGACACCACTATGAACCATTGCCGGGTAGAAGGGTCTTGTTGTTAGATGAGGAACAAGATCCATTATTAGGGAGTTTGGGGTGCGATCTTTGTTACAGAGTGAAGTAGAGTTGGAGTCATTGGCCTATTCCACCTCTTGCTGTCTTTCTCCCATCCCAACCAACTTCGTTATGGCATGCCCTAATCCCTAACAGTATACCTGTGTAGGTAGCAGCTCTGCTCTTTGCCAGAAGACAACACACTGCTGGCAGGAGAAGGGTGAGGGGGGAGACAGCTCTTGCTCCTCATCCTCCCTGTTACAGGGATGCACAGCAAGCCTGATGCAGGGAGAAGTGGAGACCCAGGAAGAGAATACATTCAATTGTGAAGCGTGGGCATAAAGCTGGTACTTGATGCTTTATATTACAATACTGTGGAGATATAAGAGTTCTGATATTGTTATCAGTGTGATATCAGTGTGATACTTGCATCATATTGAATTGGGACAGTGGCATCTTACTATCTGTCAGTGCATCACAATGTAATTTTAAGACTTTTTTTTTCCTAAAATACTGATGTTGAGGCTGTTATTGACTGTTGGTACAAATTACTTGACATTTTTACTGTACAGTGTTGCTACTTGAATTTGTTTGCTTATGTAGGGTTTTTAAAATATTTAAGTGCTTAAGTAGTTAATCAGTCTGGTAAGTATGGGGAAACTAACTCTCAGAGAGTAAGACCTGGTGGTTCTTGAGCTCGTGAGTCAATTCTTCTGTCAGCATCCTCAAGATTTATAGAGGTATGCAAGATTTTCTTCTTTTAAAACTTTATCCTGCATTTTATCGGAAAGAAACACCTACGTTTAATATTATGAATACAAATACTGTTGAAGTATTTGAAATAAACATACAAGAGGCAATATGAAACTCCATGTGTTGATGTTTTTATATCAGAGAGATTGCTGGGCAGGTTTTTTAAGTAGAAAGCTGTTTTCTACCTTTTATTTAGGTGATGAGGGATTATAATCTTCAATATTTCATGTTTCTTATTGGAATTATAGCCTCTCTGCTTCAGTTTCTTTTTGTCAGTTACACCTAACTGTGTAAATAATCGAAAAAAAAACCGCACACATTGCAAAGTTAATTTTAGTGATTACTTCAGCCTACATAATTTCAGCTCTTAATCATTCTGGATATTCAATATCAATCTCTCATGATGTCAGTGTAATAATAGCACCTTGTGCTTTTTTAAAACAAAACAAAACAACTTTGCTCAAGACTTGATGTCTTTCCTCTCAGAAAGTCTTCATCATGTTACTTAGATTTGTTTTGCAGTTTTCTGACAATATACAGCAGAAAACTACTTTATTTACTTGAATATGGATAGGCTGTTTTCTTCCTGACTATTATCGAAGATTGAATTTTCTTTCAGGATTTAAAGTATGGCTTACCTTTATTTGAAGTAACTATTGTCTCTTTGCCTGGTTAGACATCTTTGTGTTGTGAAAAGGAAGGGCTAGCACAGAAACACACTTCTCTCACAGATATGCATGCTTGTGTGGACACTTCTGCCATGGGGGATGCTGCATCGACGGGTGGTGTTTGTTGTATTTTGGTCTTCACTGCTGTCAGCCGTGCCTGAGATAATTCTTCAGAGAACTACAGTAATGCCTTTTTTTGTTTTAAGGGCTGTGTATGGAAAGAGGGCTGCTATGTATCTTTTTTTGTAAAAGTGAGGACAGGAATAGGAGATGGGGTGGTGTTTCTGTGTATACATACACACATGAGTATGTGTGTCTGTATTTGTGTGTGTGTGTGTGTATATACATATATTTGTGTGTGTGAAAGAGCATGTTGGTCATAGCAGATTTTTCCCTTTATTGATTATGGGCTTGTTTCTACTCTGTCTTTGGAATGAAAACATGGCTCCATAAATGCAACAGTTAAGGGAGATTATATAATGGAATAGTATCAGTGCTGTCGTTATCAGGTTTTATTTTTTTCTCTACTGTGTAAATAATCTTTTTTCACTTTAAAGTTCAGACCTCTGGTTGCACTTTAACAGTTAATCTCAGCAGTGATATTAAGCTGGGATGGAACAAATGCACCTATTTCTAAATCTAGCAATGCTAGTTGGTAGTCCCTTTTGATAGATTAATTGCATCTGGTGGGGAAAAAATCAAAGGCATCTAGCTCAGTTAGAGTATTGCAGAATTGCAGCGCAATTTGGTCTGAGTGTATCCAGATATAGTGGTATTGATTGTCTTTGCACAGCATAAAGGAATGTATTTAGAAATACATTCCTGTGGTGGTTTTTGTTTTTTTTTTGAAATAACTTTTTCATCTCAGTTGCACTGTTCTTTTCCACTTAGAATTGCATTAGAGCACTGTATCTCATTCGGTTCCCAAAGGGGTTATGTACAGGGCAGATGTCACTCACTGGGACAAGCGAAAATAATCTCCATCTACTTGCTTTTCTGCAGAAATAACTGCTGCTAGAAAATGAAGCAGTGGTGTGCTTCCTGTCTTGCCAATTCAGCCATTTCATAGGAACATCTAAGTTATCTTCAGGGACTGGTTGAGTCAATGGCTAGCTGCTTTTAGCTCTTTCCCACATTTTGTAGCTCATAATATTGAGGGACACATGAAGGTAACTCATCAGAAGGTGACAAAAATACAAAACAAACAGTGTGCGTAACACAGAAGGATAAGTAGCTCTGTGAACTGCTGAACTATTAAATCTGAAAAGTAAGTTCTTAGGTACCTTATACAATTCTTGTACTGAAGATTTGCATTCAGTTAAGGTGTTAAAAGAAAACTGCATATTAAATTCGTGAAACAGTGGGAATTTAACCCAATCCCACTGTGAAGTGTGATTTTAATTGTGATTTTAAAAAATATATGTATTTCCATGCACTTACATGGGTAGGGAGGTGTGTATGCCCACATCCATGCATGGAAATGGCATCGCTATGAATGAAAATTTGAAAAGATGGAATTAAAAAAAAAAAAAGTACAAAGGAAATAAAAAGTAAATAGATGGAAGGATGATACAAGTGCTGTTGATAGGTTGGTGCAATTGAAGCCTGGAGGGTGTGTAGCCAACAGTCTGACCTGAATGAAGCTGATACAAAAAGAAATCGGAGTTTGCCTCTTATCTAATCCTTGCTAGCATCTCTGGACTGGATTCCACCGCAAGTCCTCCAGGCGTGAAGTGTTAGCAGCTGACATACTCAGCGTAGCTATCTGTAGATGTAGAGTATCTGGCATCTATAAGGATTAAACTAGGCTGCAATATAAAGCTTTAGAAGGAGAATTAATTAAAATGATGGTATGTCTAAATCTTTCAAGGATACTTAAGTCAATACACACTGAATTGCCTTCTTGTATGTGTCCTGTATCCATTTTAGGTACTAAGGTAAAGTATTCCTATTTCCCTTTACTTATAATACTAATTTAGCCATCAATCCTGCACTCTTAAATGAGGATCCTAGGTTTCTATAAATAGCAGAATTTCACAGGACCATTTAGTGTTTTGGAAACTCCCAGCTGGTGCTTCTGGCCACTCCTGTAGCAGTGCAAATAAAGATCTGGCCTCGCTGCAGAAAAGACAGTGAACACAACCGTTGATTACACTACAGTGAATCCAGGCTAGCAAGGGGCTGTAGCATGTGACATAAGGAGAGCAAGAACGCTGCATTTGTTTCAGACTTCAGAAGGAAACAAGGAGGGGAAATCTTACTGCTGCCTACCAGTGCTTATTAGGGAAGCGTGGAGAAAACTGAACGTGGCTCTTCTCAGAGGGGTGCTGATAGGCTGAGAAGTGGAGGACAAGAGGCTCCACCAGGGAAATGTTTATCTAGATAAGACCAAGAGGCTGAGCAAGGCATTGGTCTGGATTTCACCCAGAAATTCCTTCTGATGTAATTCTCTGGTTCCAGGTTATAAAATTTTTTTGTAAGGATTAATTTTTTTGATTTGTTACTAATGGAAGTGAGACTACAGAGGCAACTGCATATTTGGATAGGCCAGGCAGCAGTAAGAACATGTCTTATCATGGAGTAATAGAAGTATCATTTTCCCCCCACCATCACCTGGTAGGTGTCTGCCTAGGTAGTTGAATAATGTAAGTATCTCCATGTCGGTTCGTTAATAATTGCTTTCTCAGCAGGCTGCTGACAAATGCCCTGTATGTTTGATGTGGTCTTCTGCTGCTAATGACCTTTGATGTGCTCAGTAAATATAAACTCAAAACCTATTCGTAAGAAATACAAAAAGATGCTATTAAATAAATAACCAGATATGTTTTGTGTGCCCCAAAACAGTGCATGCTGTCCTACTACAATTTGAGCATTATTTCATGATAACAGGATGGCCTGTGAGTAACCTCCTGTAAAAGCAGCGCTCAAATAATTCTGACAACCAAACACAAAGTCAGAAAGCAGTTCAGGTATCAGGTTCTACGTTGTTGTTGAGGATGTCTACTTTGTGTAGGTTTTATTTGTAGAACTCTAAATTCTTGGGAAAAAACAAACAACAACAACAACAACAAAAACAAGTAAATATGAGGACTAAAAACAAAAAACAGCAAGGCAATTAAAAAAATACTGAATATTATTTTATAAAAGGTGATTCAACCAGTCTTATGAATCTTTTCTGAGATTAACAATCCTTTTGATGTTTCCCAAAAGCATGGGAGACATTGCCATGTTGTTTCTGTTCCTTATGAGCAGAACAAGGAAGTGTCACTCGTCTTCTTTGATTCTTCCTTCTAGTTCACATGTTTCTGTGAACATCATAAAATTCAGGGATAAATGAAGATCTCCTTGCATTTTTCTAACTCAGTTTGGAAAAAACAGATGCAGTTTTTCCTGAGAGGTGTGTGGAAGGAGAAATAGGAAGAAAAATGAATCAATAGAAGGATTCTGCGGCTGCCTAATAAGGAACTTCTACTAAATAGGAACGGTTGCTGCTTCAAACAGCTTCTTTTCAAACAGCGTTGTCATTTGCAGCATGGACAGCACCAGCAGCATATTGCTTTGCAAGGGTTTCTTTTCCGATATTTGACTGCAAGTCCAAATTTTTCTCTAGATATTTGAGTGTATTCTTGAGTGTTGTTCATACTGATTTCTATGTTGTTGATCATCTCCCCTTGCTCCTCCACCAGAAGCGATATCTGGATAAAAAGTTCCTTCAAGTCTTTGATCTGGTTCTCCAGACTGACTAGTTCTTTGTGTCTCTGTTCAATCTCTGAAAGTTGCGCTTTTGTTATTTTGACTTCAGTGAGTAGGTTTTCATTGAAAATATCCCATTTTCCTTGTTGAAGCATGTCATTGACTTCTTCCTCAGATACCTCCTTACCAGCTACTTCAAGCTGACGAACGATAAACCTTCTGCATTTCTCTTGCTTGACTGTTATAGCTTCATTGTAGGAGAGCATAGCATTTAGGTAACACCGGGATAGGAAAGCATGCTGGGAGGATAGAATTCTTACTACGGCAGATGATAACCCATGTTCACTTTCAGCTTTTTTCACTGTTTTTGACAGTTCATCCAAACCCTTTCTTACATGTTCTGCTTGAATTTTGATTTCTCTTGCTATGTTAGATTCCTTTTTAAGAACACTGAATCTTCTCATTGAAGACACTAGGCTCTTTTGTTGTTGACTAAATTTATGAACTTCATCCACCAAATTATTGATTTCATTCTGAAGCTTCTGGATTTCATGGAAGTGCCTTTCAGTTATGGGTTCCCGTTCGTAAATAATGGCCTGCTGTTCAAACACTTCCTGCTCATCTTGTACAGGTGGGTGGTTGTTTTCTCCAACTATCTGCAGTTCCTTAACTCTCAGTTTAAGCTCTTGGAGGCGGTCTCTCATGGTTTTTGTACTCAGTTTTTCTTAGCTTGTTCTTTTCCTCTCTTGCAAGACAGGGAGTTAACTCCAATATCCAATATTTTCTTAGTTTGCTGTAATCAAAGTGTAACAAAAATCCATGTTAGCAATTGTCCATATGCAACAAAAATAGCTTTGGAGATGAGACCTAATTCCCTCTGTACAGAGGTAAAATACAAGCAGCAGCAAATCAGAAGTGATTAGGCATTATGATTGAATGTGCATGATAGGTATTGTCATATTGTCAGGGCATTCTGCCCTTTAACCCAGTTTTTGTAGGGCTTATTCTCATAACCAAGCATTTTTTTATTTATTTATCTTCAGGTGGATACAGCTAAGTTTTCCCTCAGCTTCTTAGTTATTTAGTGCTTTTTCCACATACAGTGATTTTAAGCCTGTTCCTATTTTCATGCTAAATGTATAGTGTAGGGTCCAGAACCTAGAATATCCAGGAATTTAGTATATGGAGAGGACTTTTATTTGGGGGAGGAAAAGAGGAGTAACTGAAATTCTTATTTTACCATAATTAATCATTTGAAAGAAAAATAATGATTTTTTTCTGGGGGGGGATGGTGTGGAAGTATAAGTGAGTTATTTATTCTTTATTCTCAGTTGGAAATGTACACTTCAGCCATAGAAGCTGAGACAGTCTAAGGAGTCAGTTTTGGCTTGAGTAAACTACTTTAGGCTTTTAGTTTAGCCATGCTGAATTTTTTTCTCCTTTTTCCTTGGCTTTACTTGCCTGTGGAATTAAACTGATGGTAACTGAAGTAGTAAATTCTACAGCAAAATAGAATAACAGAACTTGGACTATGAAAATACATATTTTTTTAATATATTGTTTGTGGGCAATACTGTTTGAAAACAATAAATTATTTTCACAAAAGTGGACCCAGTATCATTTATGTTGGGACTTGAAGATCTTCTAAGCTACTTCTGAATTTTTCTATTCTTACTTTGTCATTTGCGATTTTTAATAAAATTTATACAAATGTACTCTGTACACCATATTAAGATACAATTCAGTAACGTTTCTGATTTAACAGAAAGTGGACTTAGTGGTGTTTTCTACCTTAGCTGTTGTGTGAGCTTCATTGGAGATAGTTAAACTCCAGTTCTGATAACAAAGATCGTAAGGTGATATTGAAGTTTTTTTTTTCTGGCAAGTGATTTTTATAGAAAATCTTAAAACAAACAAAAAAACATACCTTTCAAATGACTGTGGGTATAACGCTCAGCCTGGCCTGTGCAGTCATTCTAAATTTCCGTATTTGCTTTCAAATAAAGAAAAAAGTCCTGTAAATATTTTAGGAGCTTGCTTGAAGACATCTTCCATGTTAAAAACAATCAATCCAGAAAAAAAGAAAAAGAGAAATTGTCAGCTTGATGCAGCTGTTTTATAACTAAATGTCCACAATAAAAATAAAATCACACTGTTGAATGCCTGCCTGTGTTATTGAACACAGCAATATCCATGGAGGAATATCTGTAACATGTTATGCACCTGGATGGAACGTTGACCAAGGAGCCCTGAAAAATAGAAGTGATAAAAATGAATATTTTGGAATGCAAATATTTCTTCTTAAAGTTTGGAGAAAGAAAGAACACTTGAAGGCTTTTATGTTACAAGGAGCAGGAGCTTGGGAAGGACTGTTGGTGGGTGTTTCAGTGAGAATGCATGGTTCTGGGATTTAAAGTTATTTGCACCATGTCCTAGACTGTGGACCAAAAGACTTTTTGGTAACTTTGACACACATAGTGAATTTTGTAGGCATTTTTTCCTATAATTGTCATAAAAGTAAGTCTTTTTGAAGAGTATTAAGGTTTATTTGTTTGAATTTGTATGTGGCACCTTTACTCAATTTTTAAATGTTTTATTTCTTTGTGAGCTTTTATTTGGGTAAATGAGGTACCTGGAATGTTGCAGGTGATAAGGCCTGGATAGGAGATTTGAAGAAGACTAAAACAGTTTTTTCACCAAACAGCTTAGGCAAAGCACCACTTTTTCATTGAAATATTCTTCCAAGTTTTAACTTGGCTTTTCAAAATTCGCATACTGAAGGAAGGGCATTTGGTAGTACGACATTTTATGTTGTACACTTTCATTGCTTGGAGCATAACCTTTAAACCCTAACAGGCAGCTTCCAGAAGTCTTCAAATATGAATCATATTAATGAACTTGAGTTTAAGGAGCGAATACTAAACACACATACCCTGTACCCTTCTGTGCAGCAACTGCAAAGCTTATCTTTTATTAAAATACTTTTTGTCATGGTTGTTTTAGGGCTGCTACTATTGATTGCTTTATTCATCCTCTGCTCTGTATACAAAGGGGCTGCTTTATTCTGTACAAATCAAAAGTGTTGGTCATTACTGCTTTGAAGTAGACTGAAGTTGGTTTTTTCTTTTTAGTTTAAAGGTTTGTATAAATATAATAAACAGTTTGTAGCTAGCAGTTAGTTTGTGACTAGCTTGCATGCAATACTGTTGAAGTCACAGATCTCTCTCTGTTCAGCACTAAACCTCAGCCAAAGGGGCTAACTGGTAATTTTCCATTACAAAATGACTGTGAAAGCTTTGAAATCAGATACTGGCTCTACTGGGCCTGAGATAGAAAATACAAAGCTGTAAGCTGTATATGCAAAAATAAAATGAGCAGTTTGGCCATTCAGGGTTGTGTGCTTAAGCTGTAACTGCATTTTTAAAAGGTAAACCAATTCAGAAATTCTTCAAGGGTTGACATGTTTGCGTTAATCCCAAATTGTTCAGTGTATCTCAGTTACTCAGAGCAAGAATTGCTTCCTTTAGATACCTCTGCCTGACCTGACAGCTCACCATGGTACCAAGGGTGGATCGCCTCTGTTAAGCATTTCTGCTGGTTTCCTTAGGAAGACTCCGCACCTTTGCATGTATGGTTATGTTTAGTATTATGTAATTCTGCACAAAGTCTTTTGTTTTAACTGAGAGAGTTTCCATTGCGTAGGCTTCATAAAATCCAACTATTATAAAGTTCGACTATTTTTAATTGTAGGAAAGAGTATTTTTTTCAAACTTCCCATGAATGTTTTCCTTGGGCTAAGATCAAGAATGGAAAAATCCTGGTAACAAGTTAAGTGTTCAGGTCCGTGAGATTTCTACTTAGAGTCTTCCAGACAAGTCAAACATCAAACATGTTTCTTCCATAGGGTTATTCAGCCTTTAGTGCTAAGCAATGCAGTAATATTTTCTGGCTGTTTTTAGAGGTTTCAAGGTAGTCTTCTGCAATAGTAGTGTTTTAAAACCGAAATCCCAATTCTAAGGATTCTTTTTAATAAGCAAATGCAGATTTCTGCCTTATCCAAAAGGATGCATCTTGTAATAGATGCAAAGAATCAATCCAGTAACCTGTCAACATGCAAACAATTTTGTTACATTTGAATAGCTTCAAATGCCACTGCTGGGGTTTCTCTGATCCCTTATGCATATTTAAGGTCCCTAAATAGGTTTTTGCATAATCTAAGTTGTGGAGCTGAACACTGTGAACATGTTTTCCACAGATTTAAATTTTGCTGTCTGCAGGAGGATTAGGTGAAAAACAAAACTCTAAATGCTTCAGAGACTGATCATGAGAAAGAATGTTGATATTGTACCGTAATATGGATTTCCCTTACTGTTTCTTTTGTTGTTGTTGATGTCTCCCTCTCCTTTCCCCCCATGCTTAAGTATCTGAATCTAGCATTTGTTGATTTACTGCAAGAGAATTCCAAAAGCCTGGTAGCTATTAGGAGTTATGTAACTGTACTGAGACTTATGATCAGGCGAGCTTGCAAGTAATTTTTTGGAAAATACTACTTTGGGGTGGAGAAAAATGCAAGTTGTATTTATTTTATTACAGTAATTCCTCTGAATTGCTTAACTTGCCATGGTTTATCTCCCTACAGCAGAAGAGAGGCAATTTCTTCAAGGTAACATTCTTTTGAGATGTTTCAGAACTGCTTGGCACCACCAAGACTGCTGCAGAGAAAGTTCAGTGTGGAGCATGCGAAATGAACCAGGAGTGCTAAACAAGGCTTAACAGAAGTGTCCTGACAGTCTGTTTTAGTACAGCCTAACACATCTGTTGACCCATGTTAATTTAACATGGCTCGGCAATCCTGTGCTTGAAAGCAAGTTCTAACGGCACCATTTAATGTTTATGTGAGCTGGCAAGACTTCTTGTATCTAAGGAAATTAAAGTAATGACTGAAAAGCTCTGAAACATACATGCCGTCATGCAGTTAGTCCAACAGAACACAGTTCAAGTTTTCTAAAGGACAGTTATTTTTTCATGTGCTCAGTCTGCTGTGACTTGAAAGTGAGTCAACCACAGGACCATAAGAACTGAGCTTTCATGTTCAGTTTGTATATCTATTAACGACTGACATGTACTTTTTGATGTTTTGAGCTCATTGCTTTTGAAATATTTGAATTTTTTTTATTTTTTTTTTAAAAAAAGGCAATAGCATTTTATGACTATTAGAGGACTTGCATGCCTATGCAAGGTATGAATCATCACTAGTTCCCTGCAGATGGAACAGTTTCTTCTCAAAATCAAACTTGTAAAGAAGTGAGCAGAAAACACTTCAGGTAGATTTTTTTTTTTCTTGTTTAAACATCAGGCTCACTAAGAAGTGGAATGAAAGCAATTGAACCATAGTTTCATATCTTACATCCTATCTGGCTTGCCTTCAAAACCTGCCTCTGAATTTGCTTGCCAGTAAGTGTGGTTGATTATACTGGCAGCTGAAACACATGCTGGTTTCAAATAAATAAGGATGTCTTCATGATGAAGATAACCTTGGAAATTGTCCACTTGACTTTTTGAATGTTCCCTAACAAACTTTGTTCATATAGTGGGCCCTTGTTGTTGTCCTTTGTGTTTGTGTATATGGATAGGGGCACATCTTGTTCTCGGTTGAGATGAAAGATATATATTGTTGAAGCTTTGGCCAATACAGAGAGAATATGCCTACTCCTTTAGAGTTGAGTAAAGGAAATAAGTGGATGGAAAGCACCTGAATGACTTGGTGTCCCCTACGTTTAAATTAAATAAAAATACTTCATCAGTGATTAAAATATCACAGCTTAGCACATCCTCAATGGCCTTATCAGGCATTTTCTTCACTGATGGTTGGAAAAGCGGTTAGAACAGCTTAGAGCAGTAAAGGTGAAACAAATCAGAAGGTGGGAGAGCATTAGCTTGCTAAATGGCAGCTTCAGGTTATTGGCTAAGTTCAGAAATGGCTCTGAACACTCTTATATATACACACCTGCATCAGAGAGCATCAGCAAGGTCTGTCCATGTTTCTGGCCATTCCTCAGACATAGCTGCTGCTACATCTTCTTTTTGAGTTACCTATGCTGAAACATTGTTTGGAACCAAGATCTCAAGCTCCAGGCTAGTCTTTAAAAAAGATACTGTGTAGATACGGAGTCCCTCTGATGTGGCTGCAGTAATTCAGGCAGTCACGTGGCACTGTGCATTTTTGGGGTACAGTTAAAAGCTGTGTAGTATTGAAAACATAGCCGAAGATCAGACTGGGCTACAGGGTGGATAAAGGGAGAAGGATGTAGGGAGTAGGATGGGAGTAAGGAAGGGAACAAGACAGTCTATAGGAGAGAGAGAATCAGGCCCTGTTTTGTCTAGCACTAAGCTGTGTTTGGAGTTTAAGGATTGACCTGCTTTCATAAGCATACTCTATTTGGGGGGAGGAGGAGGAGTGCACATGCTGCATTTCATTTTGGTCATGCTGGCATACCTTATCTCCAAGAAGGGCTTTTCCCAACACCCCACGATTTTTATCATGCAGATCCACTGGTGATTAAGTTTGTATTTGTTTTGGTAGGCATCTTCATAGCTGACCGGTTTAGGAACACAGTTTTCATATCCTTGTCAAATGTTCTAATGGTATTGCAAGAATCTTTGACTTTTTATAACTTTAATTTGTTACTCATCAGGGAATCTCTCCAAACTGATGACATGTGGTTGGGCAAGTCTTGATAAAGACAATTACTTATGCCTAGGAGAAAAACAGATCATGATGAATAGACCACCATTGTTAATCTGTCATGATGATAAAGTTTGTCCTATTCTTTTCAATTCTTTTCAAAATTTTTATTTCCATCAAATTCACTATCTCCTGTGTTTAATATATATACATATATATTTAAAGGCTCTTGTGCTTAATTGCAAAGCAGCCAATTAGAATATTCTTTAATCTGTCTACTTTGTCTATAGACCTATTTATCAGGGAGTATATATACAAAAATGATACTGGGTCTGCATTAAGTTAAAATGCATCTGTGAAGTAGTTAAGCTGACTTTATGGAACTCTTGTTACTGGTTTTCATTAGATTCAATGGCTTCTTTTGGAGGTCTGGTGTGTTGTTTTTCATGCTTTTTGTTTGTTTTTGTCTTTTTCCTGATTTACCAAAAATTTCTGTTTAGGTTCCATAGTTCTATTTGCTGTTTCTAGATTATTGAGCACCTTCATTAAAATGTCTGATACAAAAGAGGGCTCTGTATTTGATATTCGATTTAATTTGTATGCTGCCAATGTTAATTCTAGTATTCTGAGGTCCACTAGAAGAGGAAGACTTGCAGACAAGCAAAGGATAGAATTCTCTTTAAAGCTTTGAGGTGTGTAATCTTGTTCTACATTACACTCTATTCATTACCTCTGCTGAAACAGCATATTTTTTTTTTGACTGCAGCAAAAATAAGGGTCAGCTTGTTTTTCTGCCCTGCCCCTTAGTTATGAAGGTCACAGGGTAGAAAATGCTTTGAGGCAATGTGTTCCAAAGGAATTTCAGGTTAAAAGCAAATATTTTTTAAATCAATTTCTAGGCTGCAACTGTCTTACAGCTCTGTTATATGGTGTTTAACTATATAACTGGTTTTTGACAGCAGTGTCTTTGAGTAACTGTGGCTTTGAATTGAAATTTCAGTTTGCTAAAAAAGCTATGCTCTTATATATTCTCCCAAGAAAAGAAGGAACGTGTTTGGTGTTCTGGAATCTTGCGTTACTACACCAAGTTATATTTTAAGGAACTAAGAAATCTTGCTATAGGTTGTGCTTATTTTTTCCTTTGTTTATAAAAGAAAGAAAAAAAGGAAGAAAAAAGTTTCCATTAACTTGTCTTGTAAACAAACGTGCTTAAGCCAAGGATTATCAGGAAGCAAGGTGGTTGGATGAAATTATCCTCTTAAATAATCTCTGTTTTAAGATAATTCCTTGGAAAAACATACTTAAGAATAGTTCTAAATTCACATTTCTGTTTGTGGGAAGTGTGGGAGTTGTTCAACAGGAAAATATCAAGGGCAGAGAGCTTGCCTTGCCTGTAAACCTGAAAAAAGATGCCATTTATATTTGGAAGGTAGCTAAGTAGTATCACAGTACACTGCATGATAGTGCAAAATAATACTTTCAGTGCAGGGGACTTAATAGATATCTCATTCTTAAGACATACTAACGTGTAAAGATCATTTGCATTTTTCAGTCGTTGTCTCTGGAAAATAGGCTATAGCATGTTGCTTCTGGTATAGCTGACAGTGTGACACTGAGGAAATGCAGTCTTGCTCCTTGTCCCCTTGAGAGAGAGTATCACCCACCATAGCTGCCACAAAGCTACCAGGTAAACCCAAAATGACCAATATGGAGAATAGAAAATGGCACATCTGAAGCGAAGGAGTGTGGGAGTTCTCTAACTAGTGTGACATAAGTCATGGGAAGGGGAGAAACATCAGAACTGAGAATGAATGTGTGGTTCAAATAGACTAAAGCAGGCCTGAGGAGTTCAAGGAGTTCACGAGACAGGTAAAAATGAGTCCAGAGTTGCTGGAAAAGTGTCACCAAACCATGCTGCTGGATTAAGCGCTCCAAGGGAGATGGGGTTGGGGGTATGGAACAGACCTTAGTTATTTAAATTAATTTAGATGTTCTTGAGCAGTTGGCCAGAAATCAGTAACACGCTCATGTTGTTGGAAATGTAGTTGTGTTATGCTGATCTTTATGGTTTTTGTATGATATGGGAAAGAATCCTGGGAGAAAAAAGGATAAATGAGTAATAGAAGTTACAGATGTTACCATTAGTAGGGTGGGAAAAGATAGTAGGTTGTGAATCATCTATATTAAAAGCTTTTATACTTTGAAAATCTCTACAACTGCCAGTCCATTCCAATTCGAAAAACATGGTGATGTTTTTTTAATGAACTATTTGGTTCAAAGATGCACAGTGAGTATGAGGCAAAACTAGGATTGCATCTTGGAATTTCATAACATGTTAGGAATGCGTGGAAGGCTTCAGGGAAGGGATATACCACTCTTTCCATGTATGCAGGCAATGATTCTCACGTTCTCTACAGAAACTTTAGATAATGTGGTACGGTCATGCTTTTGTACTGACGTAAGTTGCAGTTGCAGTATGCATCAGTAAGTCCTCACTGACAAAACAATGACCTCACTCTGCAAATCAGTTAGTCTGTATCCCTTAATTTAGAGTAAAAATGAGTTTATTTGATGTTCTTATTATATTTCACCTATAAGCTAAAGATTTACTGTCAGTGGTGCTCTTTAAGAAACTTCAAAAAAAAAAAAAAGCAGTAAAGACAAGTAAATACATCTTTGGAGATATGTTTTTTGTTTTTTTTTCTTTTCAGACAAGAATAATCCTAGCAATCAACGCCATTGTTGGTTTAGGTGGTACAAATATGATGGCCACCTACGAGTCACAGCAATCCAGATAGAAAATCATCATCTCCTCTGCCAAAAAATGATATAATGAAGGTCCAGATATTGGTATATTTTAAGGCAGGATTTGAAAGTAAATTAGCAACAAGAGAAAGGACTGTAGCAGGATGAAGACCAGGTGAAATTCTTTCCATTTAATAGGAGGTAATAGTTTGATCTTCTAGTTAGCAGCTTTCTCTAAAACTAGAGTTGCTATACATCTGTTCTAAGATTTTTTCATCCTGGTAGTTGCAGGCACAAAATTTGTACTGTGCAAAATCCCACCTAGTTTTCATTTCCATTTCATCTGTCAGACCATATAGCTAAGTACTGCAGCCCTGGAACTCATCTACTCATCTTTAATAAATGTAAGGATTTCTAGGCAGTTTTAATTAATTATATATATTACAGGTAACTTGATGAAACAACTTCACTTTTTGCCTTGGTATTGATATTTCAATATCAAATACAGTGTAAGAAAATAATTCATATTTGCAGGTTTTCTAAATCTTACACGAAAACAGGTGGCAGTTTAACTTACTGTCATTGTGTTCAGAGTTATATACCTGGAACTTGAACATAGTATCATGGTTGTGAGCTCAGATCTCACTGGGCAAACCTATTTGATTAATAGGTAGGATTAAACTGATAGCAGAGTGTTGTGTCAGAGAAATACACTTTTAGTAAATAGAAATGTGATTCAGACGTAAGGTGGGAATGTGGCCACTTACCTGAAGTGAAACAAGTGATAATTGTCATTCTTTTGACCACTTCAAAAGGTGGTATGAATGTAAAGTTTCTCTAGAGTTGCCTAGAGATACTGTAAACAGGATGAGTTTAGAATCCTACATTTAGATAAATGTGAATAGTTAAAAGTGACCTGGAGGAGGAACTGGTTAGGGAAAGGTTGAATCAGAGAAATTTATCTGTTTGCAAATACGTATACAGAAACTCTTAACTGATGTTTATAGGCAGATAATCCTGGAGCTCCTCGTTCACTAGATTTTTTTTTTTTTTTTTTTACAGTTTACCCTAATATTCAAAGTATTGTTTTACATAAGAATTGAAGGCGTGAAAAGCAGACTAGGGAAATGAAATATTCAGTATGTTTGAGAAAAAGCCTAATATCAATCAGTAAAAAGTTACTGATGAGTTTGTAACTGTTGTCAACAATCCAGAAGGTGCCTGAAATTAGGGCAGCTACTTGGAGTGCCAAAGAATATAGCTTAAGACCTGTTAAGAGCCACTATTTCTGTAGTTAAAAGTTGTTAAAGGCAATTGCAGGAAAAAGAAGGAAACTCAGAGTGCCTTACAGTTTCCATGGGAGGCCTGAAACTGATTTCTAGTTCTCCTGTGTGCTTGGTTGTTAAAAGTAGCAAGAACTTTGTTTTCTGTGACTTCCTCAAAAAGCCGGTAAACTGCCAATAACTAGAGAGGAAAGAACAGACAAAATCTGACAAACTCGCATACTTCTGCCTGTTTGTGGATCAGTTCAAGTTGCATGGATGTGTATGTAAGCAAAGCAATGGTTAAACTTTTTTCTGCTGTAACTTCTCTAGTGTGTGTTGTCCTAGTGACTTGCTGTCTGCAGGATTGTCCAAGAAAAATAAATAGAAGAGAAATGAAATTCTGAAGGAAATAGAACAGTATTTCTAAAAGGTGGACTACAGAAGGAAAAAGATAACATTGTTCTTTCCTTGTGTCTATTGCTGTGAAGTTCAAAGGTTCTTCCTCTTGCCTTTGTGTTCCAAGGAATCCCAGTTCAGTCAGTCTCAAAGCTATGGCTCCTTGAAGCATCCTTAAAGCCTAGTATTTTTGAGCTCACACAGTCATTCACATAATGATAGATTTTCTTTAAGTTACTTTTACTCAAGACTGACAGTTCTGACACTAATATTTTGACCTTAGGGATACTTTGCTCCTGCCTCCTCATTGATGTTTATGGCCAGCGTGCGTGTTTGACTGAAAATTTTGAATTTGTGATAAATGACTGTGATTAAACCCCAAAGCAGCATCTGAGACACTTAAAGATTGCTTCCTACAGCGTGCCTCTACAGTATTTAGTTTTATGTTGCTGCTGTGTGGGAGTCCCACGTAAAATGCACAAGTTGGTAAGCAAGTGTTTAAAAAACAAACAAAACCTCCAAGCTAACAAAACAAGAAAGCAAATGCATATGTGCACACGTGCACTCATGCAAAACGCTATCACCCTGAATAAAGAAACCTCTGCCCTTTCTCTAACACTTGGATTTTTGATGAAAGCTGAGAGACAAATGTCCGCTTTTCATATTGGAGCTTTTTCAACAAATCTCTTGGATTGTGAAGCAAGTTTTAATGCTAATTTGTTTACTACTTGCTCAGTAACATTTTAGAAATAAGTCAAGGAGTACACATAGTTCGCACTCAGGCGTTGTTTTTCACTGGCATGTCTTCAGGCTTCTGAGGGAAATACTGTTATTGAACTGTAGATGTCAGTTGTGCCAATGCACACATACACTCCCTTTCCACACTGTTTCCCATGACTCCAAAAATAAAGTTCAAAGCTCTCTAGTTGCTTACAAAAAAAAAACACTACTTGATATAAAAGCGGTTGGTGCCTTCCTTCCATTATGAAAGAAATGGAGAAAAGTTTGTTGTTACACTGTGAGGGTTCCAAATATACTTTGTGAGATTGGAATAAGCGAAGCATGATTATATATATGAAAGCTTTTCACTCAGTCACCTTAATGTGATAAGCTAACAGACGTGCTCTCCAGAGCTTTCAAGTGTGTTTTTGATATATACTTCCTATATAGTTCTTAAACACAAAAGATTGCTCTATATGAAGTTCTACTGACTTGGAAAATTAAAATCAAGCTCTATCTATCCTTTAAGATAATTCTGACGTATGCACTAAAGGAGGAGGTTTTATGCATAAAACTTGCCTCAAAACCTAGCATTCCTGTGCATGAGCAGTAGTGCTCTGAGGCTGTATTCACCTCAAGAAATACTGAATTATTTTCAGGTTGGACATCCACTATTTGTGTTTGACACTTAGACGCATTTCTTTTCTAAACTACACAGACTTTTTCTGATATTTACAGCTTCATAAGCATTAAGTAAAAGGAAATTATTTACCTTTTAATCCTGTGCGGTGAAAGTCTTTCAGTGTTATCCTTTACAAACGAACTCCCCAGGGTAAGCTCCAGTATAATCTGAAAAACATCGCTTTGAATATTTGCCTGAGTATCGTGTCTTGAGTGGCATTCCAGTAAGTATTTTCTGCATGCCTTCTGCTCCTAGTTCTTAAATAATTGTCCAAGGGCTCATCTTTGAGTGTGGCGGTGCGAGAGAGAAGCTGACTTCTGCAACTCCAGTAGACAGGCAAATTGATTACTTTCTACTTGGGGAATCTGGTTCTGCCTGTTTGCAACCCAGCCTAGCTGCGAGGCGGATCGCGCTCCTGGAGTTGGCCAATAGTATGAAGTGTCCAGGACCAGCTCCCTAGATAGAGACCTGGCGAGCTGCAAGCATAGTGCTGCCTACCTCTGAAGCACAAGTGTTTTAAGTACACTAATTGCTTTCTTCTACACTGAAGCATGAAGGAAAAAGAAAGCAAGATTGTGGGTCTGTTCATACACTTACTTAAAAGGGGAAAAAAATCCAGCATTATAGTACTCCCTATAGCAGTAAGTATCTTAATAATATTTTAATTCCTTTCATAAGTTTGCCATAAAGGCTGAAGTGGAACAGAGAGTACAACAGGAAACGTATGACCTGTGCTAAACAGTTCTTGGGGAGCATAAGGTGGAGGCTGCTATTTGGATTTTTTGCTTACCCAGATAGAGCACTTCAGCTTTAGCTGTCGAAAACAGCCCGTACTGCAACGTAAGTTCTATGGAGAAAATCGAAGATAATTGACCCCAAACCAAATTGTATGCTATTCAAGTTATTCAAGGTTAAAAATCAGCAGGTACTGCAATTTGTAGGGCATTAGTGTCACACTTGAACTGAGCTATGCAGCTTACCAACATTTCATTCTGCTTCAGCTGTGGTTTGTGGAATGTGCAGTCCCGTAACGCAGTAAACTGCAGTTATTTAATCTTGAGATGAGAAAGGAATAGGCAGTGGCAACAAAGTCTGCAATCAGAAATATTTTCTTCAATCAGGTCAAGATAGGAATTGACAGCACTACTGAGGAATGCTTTTTGAGACCAGGGAAAGTCCAATAAGATTTTCAAACTGTCACAAAGATAGGTTAAATGAAAAAATAAAGTGGAGATAATTGGATAATTATGTCCAGTCCTTTAATTGCTTTTCATGTCTTTCTTTAATTCCGTTTCAGTTTTTCCCTGCTTTAGCCATGTTCGGTAGCCACACACCGGGATGATGTTAGTTGTTTTCACAGTTTGTTGAGAAGCAGCAGTGCCAGAGTATCATATTTAACATGTCATTGGTTCTGTATATGAATTGCAGAACCATTAGGAAATCTCTGCACTAAATCATACAGGGTACAGAGTACAGTAGAATTAGTCTTTTCGTTGAGAAGTGAGAATGGATTATTTAAATAAGGTGGGGGTGAAGAGGGCCCTGTGCTTTTTCTAGCTCTGCATGGAAGTCAGCAAAGTTTTGATCATTGGTGGGATGTAGGAGATGTTATCCCGAAGATGATGATAAATATGTGAACCTTTTGTACTGCAAATCATTCTTAAGACTGATGAAAATCAAGAGAAAATTGTTGTGTCTGGACATTTAAAAAAACTGTCTTTCCATGGTCTCATTTGTACACAATCCTTAAAAGGAAAGACTATGAAATTAGTGGTGACAAGCAATGTTTTTTAGAGCTGCAGATGTAACACAGATTTTTCTTTTTATAATTCTTGGAGGTTAAAAACTCTCTCAAGAGTAAAATGATTAAGAACGGAGATTCTCATACTGCTATTCTGGAAAATGGGAAGGAATAAGTTCTTGGATCAAACTGAGTTGCTGACAAGTTCTGCTTAACGATGGAGTGAATTCCTACCACTTGTTCCCTCCCTGCAAGGAGTATGATGAATCAGAAGTACTAGCCTTGGTTGAACAGCCCCTAAAAGCCATTTCAGTTGGTGACAATGACTTGAGATTTCAGAAGAAAAACCATGACGTCTGGTTCTAAAACAATCTTCCATTGCGTTGATGGAAACCAAATGATTTATGATTTTATCCTGAAAGTTGAATCAGAGTTCTTTTGCAATGGAAGAGTTGCTTAATTTCTGAATGTGAGCCTACTGGAATTGCTTTACTAGAGAGAAGTCAGTGCAATCTTAAGCTTCCCTAATGCTATGCAATGCTTCTCTTCACAACTTTTGCACTTAATTTGGATTAGGACTATTGTAGAAAGTATTACAACTACTGTAGAAAGTAAAATCAGATTGCGTTTTGTGCTTATATTCCAAAATGGTTCGATGAACATTGATATGACACATCAGTATTAGTTTTCATGGTGGCAAGTAATAACTTTGAACAGGAATAGTATATTGTTGATGAAATATTATTTAATACCTTTTGGCAGTCCCTGGATATTTACCATACTAGCTTTTAATTAAAAGCAGTTAATGAGAACGAACAACTATATATCCTGTTGTTACCAACTGTTTTTATGAAAGGTGGGATCAACACTTACACTTGACTCCTCTTGTGAAGTTTTGTGTATTTCTTATAGAACTCTTAGCTCCTCATGAACGTAAAATATTTCTTATGTGTATGTCTCTTTTGTTGCCTTTGTATAAAAATATTCTTTGGATTTCTATCTAATCTTGATGATTTGTTATTAACATCTGCTTACACGTGAACTCACAGAATCATTCACCACCATGAGTGCAAGTTCTTTAAAATTTGTTCTAAGGGAATACGTTTGCTTGGTGAACATGTTCCTATATACATAGGTAAAGTACTTGTTAACACTTTGTTAACACTATTGTTAACACTTTTCTATACATTGTTTCATGTAGACTTGTCTTTTGCTTCTAACAATTTTATCCTTTTCTATTGAATTTGAAATCTACAGGTATAGAATAAATTTATTAGGATGAATGCATGTTTCTGGAGAATGACTGAGATTTTAGCCTATTTATTTTTTCCTAAAGAAATAAGGTATACACAATCATAATGTCTATAGTCCTTCCTACCTTCCTGGATGTTGACCAACTTAAGTCTATTTTAATCAAGGAATTGAGTTTTCAGGGATTGTCGAGTCCTCTGTGTTTCATGAAAATTATTACTTGGGCAGCTGAGAGAAATTCCCATCAGGGACAAGATTTCGCCTTTCTGTGAGAGACAGTTCTATAGAGGTTTTGGCAGTTGTACTTTTCCTTACGTGTAGTTTGTGATGCAACTTTTAGGGCTTTAGATCAGAAGCTTTTCCAGTTTGATATCATACATAGGAGTTGCCAGTGAAACATTCAAAAATTAGTCTTGAGGAAGCAAGTCAAATTTTTATGGTTGTACTGTGGTATCACCACAAGTTTACTGAGGTGAAGAATTTAAATATTGGGATGTTTATTACACTGGACAACAATCTTTTTAATAGTTATGGATAACAGCGTTGAAAGGAACACACATGTAATATCCTCTGTTTTCAGCTCTATGTACATATTTGAGTGTGAAATGACGAACAACATTTGCTTGGGTGGTGAGACAGATTGGTTTTATACCATCTACAAAGCACATGTTATTGGCAATAGTGTTGGATACAGTTATGGAGTATGTAGAAAAGAAATGTTATCTAGAACAGTAATCTCCCCAGAATTAAGGAGGAGTTTATGTTCTGGAGTCTTTGTTGCTACCGTACTTCTAGGAAATAAGACAATAATGGCACTTTACCATACAGAACACTTATTTTACAAGCTATGTGTTTCATATACCTTCCTTTTCTTCTCTCCATGCAATAATAAAGAATGTCTTTTAGAGCCAGTCATGCAAGTTCTGAGTTTTACTTACGAAGGACAGATTCAAAATGCTACAAACCAAACTGGCAGCAGAGAAAGATTCTAGAGAGTACACAGACCTGAAATGGTCATGGAGCAGTGTTATATATGGAAATGCACATGGTTTGGGAAGCTATGATGTTCTGAACTTAGATCCGTATACTCCAACAGGTTGTACCGGGTAGCTTTGGGTGTAGAGCAGTACAACCTTTTATCTCTGTCTTCTTAGCTGTAAAATAAAATTGCTTTGCCTACAGGGGCATAGTAATTACTTGATATTAGTATCTCTGACGAAAATGGTAAATGGACTAACATATTGTTTATTAAGTTGAAAGAAAAGCTAGGAAGTAAAGCTGGAACAAGATGTTTTCTCTTTATTTTCTTCATTTTCCTACTTTTGTCAAAAATATAGTTTTGGAGATCTGATCTCTTTATGTGTCAGGGTGCTAAGTGTTTCTTCTATTTTGATTTTTTTTTCTTTAGGCTGGCAAATAAGCAGGACAGAGAAGGAGCTCTGTCAGAAGCAGATGTAATCGAGTCCTTATCTCTGGAAAAGCTTGTCAATGAACACAAGTGTCTATGTCAAATTGTAAGTATTTTTTTAAGATGTTTCATTTCCTTATACATATGTAATGCTTGCCAAGAGGTAGAGGATTATGCCATATAGCACAAAACAAATCTGGAGCCCTGCAATTCCAGCAAAGATACAGCACATATGTATGTTTTGCAAGTAGATCTACTGTTCACCTTGACTGTTTCTGGATCTGTTAAAGAAATATATAATGGCTCTCAGTGTATACTTCCTGGTCCACTTTGAAACCACATACAAATAATCATGTACTAATGTGGATTAAAACTTTTTTAGTTAATACAGCAAGTTTAGTATAAACATTTAAAAAAAAAAAAAAAAAAAAAACAACTAGGAAATAAAATTTGCCGATGTCAACATTCAGGAAGAACCACTGTTCAGATACAATGTTTGTCTCATTTTTGTTGGTAGCTCGAACCACCATTTAGTCTGAGCTGCTCTCTGACAAACAGTAAGAATTTAATCTAATTCCCAGCCCAGTAGTCACAGTAAGATCAGGTGTCTTAAAATAACCACATTTGAGGTGTAGAAGTCAGTGTCATGTTAAAAAAAAAAATCCTTAACTTATCCAAATCAACAGTGCTTCAAGTTTTCTTTAAGCCTTTGTTTTAATCAACAAGTCTGCTAGTTTAACTGTTTGTGGGCTTGAACTTCATGATACTTTTCTAATTACAACAATAAATACTTTAAAAGATGATTTGAGTTATGCTGAGACTATTAAATACCATTTCAGGACAATTTTGTAAAACTATTCCATCTGGTATTTGGGTGTTGAACTTTTTTGTTTGTTTGTTTGTTTTTAAAGTGCCTTTAAACTCCCTAGGGAGGGTTAGAAAATTCATATGAAAATACAAAATACTATTATTTTCTCTAGAAAGTTGAGTTATAGCAGGGCCACAGCTATATTCATTGTGTTATGACTCTTTGAGGGCTTTTCTTCAGTCAGTGGACTTTGCAATAGGCATATATAGCAATCAAATAAATAAAAAAAATTAAGAGCTCACTTCTTTTTCATGAGGGAGTTCTGTGGCAAAAATATTTTCTTGCAAAGCACTATCAGTTAAAAAAAAAAAAAAAAAAAAGGCCTGAACTATTCTAATATGGTTTTTTCCATTACTTTAGAATTCTATAATTTATGAT